CTTTAGAGACAGGAGAACAGCAGACAGTGTCACTCGGTTTACAGTAAAGGCCAGCAGGTACACAATCCGCAAGGTACCTTATGAATGGCAGGCAACACTGGAAAACTCACGCAAAATCAATGGTTCAAATGTGACTTCAGATGTAACAGATCATCCCTTGATTTTGTACAACCAAAGGAAATACCATTTATCTCACAAACCTCCATTTTAACAAATGTGGGCCTCATGAGACAACTAAAATCTCAGCGGCCACAGGTAGGTAGTGAAGAATAGGGGTATCGACCGAGTACCTTCTCTTTGCAGACAAGTGGGCCAGTCTCTGAACATTTTTTTTCCGGCTTATACCATCTCCGTGTTGCTAACTTAAAGGTGGAGATCTCAGTCCTTTCTTCTGAACAGGTAGCTGGAATCATCTGCAGCTCTGCATTATACAACATCCTTGGCATCTTCTCCTGACTCCATGGGTAGGCAACTCCCACGGTTATTAGGGGCAGAACTGCACGTGATGGGACTCCATGCCCAGAAAGCACGTGGAGATGGAGCTCACTGAAACGAACCTTCCCCATCTGAGCTGTAGACACAGGGAACTCCCACCCAGAAGTCTGCAAGTGGGGGAATCCTGAGGTCCCAATAAGTTTTTATGTGATTATTTCATAGTCAAAGGAAAATCTATCTGCTGACTGATGAACTTAGGCTGTACCTAATTGCATAATCCCCATTAACCATAGGCCATAATACCAGTATTAATTTAATAGGGTTGGCTTCACATGTATAGGAGCCAGTGTGTATTTGCCACAACTTAATTAATGTGTCACTCACTTGAATCAAATAATTAAGCCGCTACTCTTTATTTAGTCCTAGGCTAGAAATGCCTGTAACTTTTTTCACTTCTAAAATTTCTCTTGACTGATGTACAAATGTGGTCATATCAAAGAGAGTGAGGCTTGAAGACAAAATTTCTGACTTTTTTTTTTATTATTATCCATGTAACATTAATGTTACATGGAGAATGTAACATTACATTATCCATGTAAAATACAATAAGAAATCAATTCACCCACATCCCTTTACCTAAATACAACTATTACTAACATGTTTGGTGTATACCTTTCCCCCTTATCTATGCATAAGATACACACACACATTTTTAATGGAATTCTAGCGGGAGAACATGCTTTGCTGAACATAGTCAAATACACTAACCGAGCCGAAGCAGAGTCCAGAGCAGACCCAAATACGCACGGACACTTCCTTTACGAAAATGGCGGCCCTGCAGAACAGTGCAAAAAGGACTAGTTTTAAATAAATATCACATTTGCACGTGTGTTTTGGAAAAAAGTAAATCTTGATCCCCCTGCCTCATACAGCTCATGAAAAGCAATTCCAGGTGGACGGTACATCTAAATGAGAAAGGCAAAATGGAGTTTCTAAACGGCAGCGGGAAACGCTATCTTCATGTGCATGGGTGAGCAGACATTTCTTTAAAAGGGCACAAAAGCGTTAATGATAAATAAGACTACATTGAAATCAGAACTTCTCTTCACCAAAGACACCATAAGAGAGCCCATGGTGAGGGGAAGACCCATGACTGACAAAGGGCTCATGCCTTCTCTCTCTCCCTCTCTCATCCTTTCCTCTCTCTCTCTTTCTCATCCTTTCCTCTTTCTCTCTCTCCCTCTCTCTTCTTGTAAAGGAAGGATCATCAATTCTTTACAAAGAAAAGTAACATTATGGATCTTCTTCAACGCGCACATTGTACAGATGAGGAAACCGAGGGTGTGAGAGCTTGGAGCTCAGTTCTCTCAAGTCCCAGCCTAAAGCTTTTCTCCAACACTAGGCTGGTGATTAGATAAGCCCAGAGGACCAAGGAGAAAAGGAAGGAACTATAAGATAACCTGAAAAATTCAACACCCGTTTATGATAAAAACACTCAAAACACTAGGAATAATGAGAAAGGAACTTCCTCAGCCTGATAAAGGGCATTTGAGAAAAATCCACAGCTAACATCACACCTAATGGTGAAAGACTGAAAGCTTTCCCCCTGAGATGAGGAACAAGACAAGGAAGTCCACACTCCCCACTTCTATTCGACACTGCACTGGAGTTTCTGGCCAGGGCAATTAGATGAGAAAATAAAAGGCACCCGGTTTGGAAAGGAAGAAGTAAAACTATCTCTATTTGCAAATGACATGAACTTGTAGATGGAAAATTCTAAGTAATGTACTAAAAACTATTGTAATGGATAAACAAGTTCAACAAGGATGGAGGGTACAAAATAAACTTACAAAAATTTTGTATTTCTATGCAATTGCAATAAATGATCTGAAAATAAAATTTAATAACAATTCCATTTATAATAGCATCAAAAGGAATACAATACTAGGGAATAAATTTCATTAAAGAGGTGCAAAATTTATACTCTGAAAACTACAACAAATTATTGAAAAAAATTTACCAAGACTGAAATAAATGGAAAGACATCTCATGTCCTAGATCGGAAGAAGCTGTATTATGTTCACAATACTCCCCAAACTCATCTACAAGTTCAATTCAATCCCTTCAAAATTCCAACTGGCTTCTTTGCAGAAATTGACAAGCTGATCTGAAAATTCATATGGAAATGCAGGGACCCAGAATAGCTAAACCGATCTTGAAAAGGAAAGTTGGAGGACTCACACTTTCTGATTTCAAAACTTACTACGGAGTTACAGTAATCAAGACAGTGTTGTACTGGCAGAGTATAGACATCTAGGTCAACGGACTAGGATTGAGAATCCAGAAATAAACCCCACATTTGCAGTCAACTGATTATAACTAGGGTGGCAAAGCAATTTCATGGGAAAAGAACAGTCTTTTCAACAAATTGTGGTGTGATAACTGGATATCCAAAGGCAAAAGAACAAAGTTAGACCCTGCCTCACACGGTATACAAGTGGTCTTTACAGGTAATGGTGACAGCTGTACAATGTGAGGGATATAATTAATGTCACTGAATTGCACTAGTGAAGCATTTTGAAATGGAAAATATTTTGTCACAAACATATTTACCGCAATTAAAAAAAAATGGATCAAGACCTAAATGTAAGAGCTAAAATTATAAAAAACCTTAGCAGAAAGCATAGGCACGAATCTTTGCGACCTTGGATCAGGCAATGCTTTCTTAGATAGGACACCAAAAGCATAAGCAGCAAAAGAAAAGATAAATTAGACTTTGTGGAAAGTAAAAACTTTCGTGCTTCAAAGGACGCCATTAAGAAGATAAAAAGAACGGGAGAAAGTGTGTGTGCATCATAGATCTGATAAGGGAGCTGAATCTAGAACAAAGAACTCTTAGATCTCAGTAATAAACTGACAAATAATCCAATTAAAAAATGGGCAAAGGATCTGAAAAGACATTTCCCCAAAGAAGATATGCAAATGGCCAACAAGCACCTGAAAGATGCTCAGCATCATGAGTCGTTAGGGAAATGCAAACCAAAGCACAGTGAGATGCCACTTCACACCCACTAGGATAACTGTGATCAAAAAAACTAGTGTTGGCCAGGATGTGGAGAAACCAGAACCCACACAAACTGCTGGTGGGAATGTCAAACGGGAGCCACTTTGGAAAACAGTTTGGCAATTCCTCCAGAAGTTACCCATAAAATAAAAACCAAAACACCAAACCCATGGCCATTGGATGGAATCCAACTCGTAACAACCCTCCAGGACAGAGTAGGATTGCCTCATATGGTTTCCGAGGCTGTAAATTTTTACAGAAGCAGACTGCCACATCTTTCTCTGGCAGAGTAGCTGATGGGTTTGAACTGCCAACCTTTCAGTTTGCAGATGAGCACTTTAACCATTGCTCCACCAGGGCCCCTGAAATATATAATACAACCCAGCAATTCCACTTTTAGGTTTATATCCAAGAAAAATGAAAATATATTTCCACACAAAAACTTGGACACAAATGTTTGTAACAGCATTATTTTATGATTTATGTATTACGTTAATCTATTATAATTATATTGTAGCCAGAAAGTGGAAACCACCCAAAAGTCCATCAACTGATGAATGGATAAACAAATTGGGAGCTAGCCATACCATGGAATATCATTCAGTAATAAAAAGGAGTCTATTGTTGATCCCTGTAACAACATGGATGAACCCTGAAAACACGATGGTAAGTGAAGGAAGCCAGTCACAAGAGATGGTGTATTCTGATTCCATCTTCATGGAATTTCGAGACTAGGCAAAGCCTTCGAGACAGACAGTAGATTCTGGTTGCCCACGTCCAGGAGCCCTGGTGGTGCAGTGGTTAAGAGCTACAGAGTGCTATGGCTGTTAACCGAAAGGTGTGCAGTTTTCATCCACCAGCTGCTCCGTGGAAACCGTATGGAGCAGTTCTACCCTGTCGTTACAGGGTCAGGATGAGTCAGACTGGGGTTTGGTGTTTTGGTGGTCTAGGTCGGGGGAGGGATGGAGAGAGGGGAGAGTGGAGGGTGATTGATGCTAATGGGTGTGGGTGTTTTTGGAGGGTGATAAAAATGTTCTAAAATCTATGATGGTCATGGTTACACAACTCTGTGAATGGACTAAAAGCCACTGAATTGTTCGCTTTCAATGGGTGAAATGCACGGTATACGTGTTATAACTGAACAAAGCTGGCCTTACAAAAAAACTGACCTGTGGTTCTCAAACTGCACGTATGCCCATTAGGATAGCTGGAATTATGCTTTTCAAGTGTATAACGAGCGAGTTTTTGATGGGTGCACGGTCCTTACAACGGCGATATTGCCCACGCATCTCTTTTTAACAATGTAAACAACCAGAAGGAGACCCTGCACCGCCTTTTGTCCATTCCCGCCCCTCTCGCACCCCGCCCGGACTCCCGCTTCTCCTCCGTTCACTTCTGTGTCACACGACGCGCTCGGGGTTCACCTGAGTCCTGGGAAGCCTGCCGGGTTCTCCGGGGGGACTGCAGGGGTTCTGGGTTACGGAGCACGCGCGTCCACCAGGGCCGGGGCGCGCAGTGGACCCCAGGCCCGGCGAGAGGCGACCTCAGAGCGCGCGCACCCCGCCCTCGCCCCACCTCTCCTGCATCCCAGCCAACCTGGGCGCCCGACTGGCCGAGGGCGGGGACGGCAGCGCGCGGAGGGGCCGGGC